TATTATATATTTATATATAATATTGCCTGCCCATCTGGCATAGTTTAACCTCTGCTTACAGAGGTTTGTTTTTACCTTTGCAAAAAGAAGTGCATATTTCTTAAGAACATCCTTGAAAAGCGCTGTGGTTTGTCTGACACTGTGGGCGCCGTGAATAAGCTTGGGCACCTCCTAAGATGCTTCTTGCGAGCTGCATCAGGGTGCGATCAGCTTCTGTGCTGCTGCTGCCCCAGCTTCAGTGTCTTCTCTGGAATGGATCCCATTGCTAGAGGGAGGTGCAGTGAGCTGGAATTGCAGAGACAACGTTTGGGGGACAGAATTGTGTGGTGCATGCATCTTCAGATCAATCGAAGGGCAATCCCAAAGCTTCCTCTCTTTATTTTTCTTCTAACTGTCACAGAAAGTGCTGCTACTTGTGTAAGTGGTAACTACTTAATTCAGAGCTGTTGTGCAGAAATCCTGTTGTCATCTTTCTAAGCATGTATCTCTCTAAAACAGACAGACAACCCCTATTTTTCTTTCCTTCCCCTTCAGTTCAGACGGTGCTATTGGGATCACCGAGCCTCGGCGCGTGGCTGCAGTGTCCATGTCCCAGCGAGTCGCGAAGGAAATGAACTTGTCACACAGGTGAGGAGACAAAGAGCTGAGACCTTGCTAGGAAGGTGATGCTGAGATGCTCTGTGTATGTCCTAGGCTGAAATCAAGACTTGCACGCTGCTTCTTCAGTCTTTGGCAAAGAACTGGGGGAAGGTTACTTATAAACTCCTCTGTGGGGTTCTGTTAAAAATACGTATGCAGATTTGTTGATTTTAAGTTAGGGAGAGCTTTGTGGAGATGGTGTGTGGGAAGTGCTCCTGCTTTGTCTCCATATGACAAAGCATCCCATAACAGTGAAATCATTCAAAGTCACATTGCTGTATATCCCAGCTTCGAGCACGTTGTGTGTGCCAGGCTCTGGGAAGCTGATCCTGTGCTTTTTGTCCTGGCTGGGCATTAAGTTTTCATTTAGTTAGGCTGAAAGCTGCCTCCTGGTCTGAATGCGAATTTTCTGTTTCTCCCCACGCTGCTTCTTGTGGCTACCCTGGTATTTCCTCACAGAGTGGTTTCATATCAAATCCGATACGAAGGCAATGTTACAGATGACACACAAATCAAGTTCATGACGGATGGTGTGCTGCTGAAAGAAATTCAGAAGGTAAGTTGCTGTCCTCAGTGTTATAAAAAGGGAATTATTTTGTATAGGTAGAAAGAGAGGCCAGTTGCTTTGTGAGGATTTGTTGTGAGCCTTTCAAAGTAAAATTCCTTTCAGCCCCAAAAGTGTAATTCATAGAATCACAGCATGGTTTGTGTTGGAAGGGACCTTAAAGCTCATCCAGTCCAACCCCTCCATGGGCAGGGACACCTCCACCAGCCCAGGCTGCTCCAAGCCCCGTCCAACCTGGCCTTGGACACTGCCAGGGAGGGGGCACCCACAGCTTCTCTGGGCAACCTGGGCCAGGGCCTCACCACCCTCACATTCCTCCTAATATCCTGTCTAAATTTCCCCTCTTCCAGCTTGAAACCATTCCCCCTTGTTCTATGTTCCTGCTCAAGTCTCTAAATGTGAGGTTATCTTGCTGTGTAAAATGAGAGCAAGGAAGAGACCCTTGGTAACCAGACTGGTTCATGTAGGGTAAATGTATTGAACTGCTCAGATCTGTAGGAGGGGCTTATGGCTGTGAGGATGGGGGTGTCAGTGTTTGTGTAGCTGTTGGTTGTCTTGACTTAAAAGATGTCCTTGGGTGAGGTTTCATGTGGTGACATCGATCTCTCCTCTCAGGACTTTCTGCTTTCAAAGTACAAAGTCATTATTATTGATGAGGCCCACGAAAGGAGTATGTACACGGATATCCTGATCGGCCTCCTGTCTCGCATCGTGCCCCTTCGTGAGAAGGTGAGAGAAGCAGTGTTTCTGTGTTAGATGTGGGTGTGCTGGGGAGGGGGATGTTGGACACGAAGAGAGTGCTGTGAGCAGGGAAGCAGACATGGAAGTAGATAGAAATCTGATGGAAACAATAGGTAAATAATTAAAATTAGCAGATGCTAAGAAAGCAAGATGCTTACTGTTACACAGAAAAGCTGCTAACACCATGCTCAGGAGGAGATGTTTTGGGGCTGATGTCCTGAAGCGTTTGGCCCTGACCAATGCTGGGGGACTGCAGGGCAGTGCTTGGCATCTGTTTCTGGTTTACTCACGGATGTTGGAGAGATGGAGAGAGAATGCAGCGGTGTGGAGGCAGGGCCCTGTCAGCATCAGGAGCGCCAGCTCCTGTGTGTCTCTTCTGTCACTTGATGTGGTGCCTTTGTTGTGTTACTTTTTGAGTGCTTTGGTGCACAGATTTGGATCCAGCCCTGGGTTTGTGTGCAGCTGAACTGCCGTAGGCTCTTAGGCACAGAATAAGGTGTTTGTGTCCCTGCAGAAAGGGCTGCCGCTGAAGCTGATCGTCATGTCAGCAACCCTTCGCGTTGAAGACTTCACCGACAACAGCAGGCTGTTCTCTGTTACACCTCCTGTTATTCAGGTATCGCTCTTCTCGCTGGGATCTGCGTCAGATGCAATGGGCTTCCTTTATAAAGTTAATTTTAAAAAAGGAGCACTCTAATCTTTCCGGTTGGTGCTGAACTCTTTCAGATACCAATTAAAAAGTAGCTGTTTTGTTTAGACTTCTTTTGCTTTTGGGACTTGGTGTTTTTCTTTCCACTTTTATCAGAAAACTGCCCTGGCAGAATCTGATTATCTTGGAGGGCAGGAAGTTCCAGTCTGGGAGAACTAGAAAGCTTCAGTCCAAGTTGATCTGGGAGAGAGAAAAGTTTTGGTTCCTAGCTTGGTTTTGTGGTGTTCAGGATAAACAGCACGGACAACTTCTGTGGGTCTGGTGCTTTGCAGGTTACCAAACCAAGAGCTGAACAGAAAGACAGGGTGGGCTTGTCTAGTTCTCCTGCGAAAGCTGTGATCACTGTGCTGGACTTACGACAGCAAACAGACCCTGTCTTGTGTTTCTTGTCTAGGTGGACGCCAGGCAATTCCCTGTAACCGTTCACTTTAACAAGAAAACCCCCCTGGATGACTACAGCGGGGAGTGCTTCAGGAAGGTCTGTAAAATCCATCGCATGCTGCCCGCAGGTAAGGTCACTGCCTGGAACCTCTCAAATTCGTTACACTTAACATGCCTAAAGTTTTCTGGGTTGATTGTTTTGGGGAGTTTTGTTTTGTTTTCGGGTTGTTTGGGGTTTGTTTTGCAAGTTGAACGTGAGACTGCAATGATACAGTGTGTGCTTTTACTGAAAAGGTTTCTCTTGTGAAAATGATCCTTCAGTGAAATCCAAGTTACATTAGCGTGCCTCTTGAGGGAGTATTAGAAGACAGATGCAGTCAAACACCCTGTTCCTCCTTGTTACTTCCCAGTACATTCAGTTTATCAAGAGCAAGATCTGAAGCTTTCCAAGGTGAAACACCTGTGCTGAGGTTGAGAGTGGTTTCTTCTCTTGCAGGTGGGATTTTGGTGTTTTTAACAGGCCAGGCAGAAGTTCACTCTCTCTGTAGAAGGCTAAGGAAAGCCTTTCCTTTCCAGAAAAACAGCACTGCAGGTAATGCTCTAACATAAAGGACTGTTAAATTTTGAATTTATCCCACTGAGAAGTGAGCTTGCTTTGTTCCTAAAGTTACTCTGTTGGTTGTGAATTAAAGTGGAAATGCTGGTGCTTGTTGGAGACTTTATTTTCGGGATGGTGGAGTTTCCCGAGATGTCTTTAGAAAGCCAAATTCTAATGCAGCTCCGCTAATCGTCTCCTAAACTTCAGTGCAGGCAGTTGCTGTGTGTGCTGCTGTCGATCCTCTGTGTGGTTCCTAAATGGAATTATAACCTTAAACTTGTGCGTTGTCCTGGTCCCCCCTGCCTTTAACGTGATTATTTGCTGCTTTCGTACTGTGATGCTTTTTGAATCCCCCAAAAAGATGGGAGTGGGACCATACTCTCCCCACTGTCTTTTCTGCTTAGCTAACAGTAATTCCACTGTCTGTTTTTGCAGGACAAGATGATGACAAAGAAGAATCAGTGGAAGAAATCAGAAAATTCAAGAAATCGAGGAAGCGAAAGAGAGTTATGGTAATGTGAGATGGGTAGAATGCCTCTGAGAGACAGGAAGGAGCAGGTACCTCCCTGCAAAGCAGCACTCCTGCGTAGCTGTGTTTCTCACCGGGCTGGTTTAGATTTGCATGGAGCTTTGTAGCCTACATCTGTCCCCTCAGGAAATCCAGTAACTGCATTATGAGCAGCAGAGTGCTAAAATGTGTCCCTGGATACTGTGGGCAGGAGATTTAATGGTCAGCACTCAACTGAAATAAAACTGTAATGGGAGGACTTCCAGACTCGCTGGCTCCAGGGCTGCTCCTCATCTCGCTGTTTGTTACCCAAGTGGGACTGGTGCATCCGTGACAAAGGGGATGTCCGCTGGCATTGGATCATGGTAACCGAAGGGGCCTGAATTAAAGAAATGTTACCATTTCCCCAGTATCCTCCAAGTGAAGAAGCTTGGCGTGGCACAAAGCGCTGTTTAAAGTACTTTGGTTATTCCCCTCTGACTCTCGCAGTTACCAAATGCTGAACCTCAGCCTTGAAATACAAATGAAATCTCTCAATCCCTCTGTCACCTTCAGGTCAACAAAGGTTTTGAGTTAGTGCTTAGCTTTGCTTTCAAAGCAATAAAAAGTGCTGTTTGTGTTCCCCCTTAATGCTCTGTGGTCGTCTTCCCTGTCTTTCTCAGGCACTCCCCAAAATTGATCTGGACAATTACTCTGTCGTACCAGTGGATGAAGGAGATGAAGACGGAGATGCTGAAACTGATGATGATATCATGGGGTCTGATATCGACCTTGATTTAGGAGATGGAGACTCAGAAGAAGGTTTGGCACTTAGGAATTAGAAATTCCTTATCTGCTGTCACCTGTGAAACGTGGGACATAAGCTGGTTGTCCTTTGCTAAACTGGTGCGATAGCACATCAGGCCTGTGTCAAGGGAAGGCTGTTAAGATTCTCCAGCTTCAGCTTTGTACCAAATGCTTTTTGGTTCTAAATGAAGCAGTGTTTGTGAAGACATTGCTGGGGCTGAGCCTGGAGGTTGACTTACCGTGTATTTAAGAATATTGTTTTGTTTCTCCACAGATGAGAAACCTGATTCATCCCTTCCACTCTTTGTTCTCCCACTCTATTCTTTGCTAGCACCAGAGAAACAAGCAAAGGTAAAGAGTTTATTTTCACAATGAGTAAACAATCCTCATGGATGTGTGTGATCATTATGTAAAGTTGCCTGTGCTTTGTGAGTTAAAATTACCCATCTTGGCCAGACTTGAATGGCCCAATGGGCAAATTGGGATGGGATGGGATGGGAGCAAGCCATGCTTGGGCTGAGATCTCCTTGATGTGCCAGTCCAGCAGGTTGGGAGAGATGAAAAGCCATGGTCCTGTATCTTGTTCAGTGTAGTCACAGCCGTGAGGCACGTCAGGATCCTGCTGCCAACAAGCAGTTCTTAAAATTCTTGGGCTTCAGAGGTGTTCCCTTTTGGGCAGCAGGATGTGTAAACACAACACCGGTGTCTGCTCCACCCAGAGCCCCTCTGGATGTTTCAGGGGGATTAACTTGGCTGGATAGAGAGCTCCAGAGCTGGAGACAGAGCCAAGTTTTGGTCTCCCTTTTGGGTTTCACCTGCAGTGCCATACGTGTCGTCATCCCTTTGCAACCCATCCAAGCTGACTGCGTGTCCTTTTTCTGTTGTTGGCAATACGTTTCACAGGCCCATCTGTTCCTTGTAGGTGTTCAGGCCTCCTCCTCCTGGCACGAGACTCTGTGTTGTAGCCACCAACGTGGCTGAAACCTCGCTTACCATCCCGGGCATCAAATACGTGGTTGACTGTGGAAAGGTCAAGAAACGTTTCTACGACAAAATTACTGGGGTTTCGTCTTTCAGAGTCATCTGGATATCCCAAGCCTCAGCTAACCAGCGGGCTGGGCGGGCCGGCCGGACAGAGCCAGGGCACTGCTACAGGTTAGCTACCTGCCGTCAAGAGGGCTAGGAGCCACACAAAGCCCGAGTGTCAGTGTGAATTGAATTGACAGCTTCCCTCGTCCTGCTGCCCCTTAAACAAGGACTTAGTGCTGCTTGAAACGTTTTGGTTTTGTCCGCTCCTCATTCAAATGGGAGAGGTGAAGGCAAACACAAGCAACTGGTGTTGCTGGTTTGAGAACGTGGCTTCTCAGATGCCTTTCTCTTGCTGTAAACCCTTATTTTAGTGGCCAGATGAGCATGGTTTCCATTCCAAGCCAAGGCAACTTTTTGTGAATAAGATGGGATGCCCCAGCTGTATAAATAATTACGTGGTTATGTAAATAAGTACCCACAGCTGCCTTGTTTTAAATCCCTTGCCAATTTTTCATGCATATCTTTTGAGTTAGGATTTCTTTTAAGTTGCTAAGCAGCACTTCTGGCCCACTAGGTTATACTCTTCAGCAGTCTTCATGGATTTTGAGAAATTTTCTGCTCCAGAAATAACAAAGCGACCGGTAGAAGACTTGATTCTGCAAATGAAGGCATTAAATATTGAAAAGGTGAGATGTAAGTTGGCCTCGTACTACAGCACTCAGTAAAGTCATGCACAGGAGCCAGAAACACACACAAATGTCTTTTATCATTGCTTGAGGCTGTGCCTTGTGTTAGAAATTGGGATCCTGGGAGTTGGTTTTGGTTCTGCAAATTGCAGAAGCTGCTCTGAATTCCACCAAGTCTTGACAGATGTGTTTGTTTAGGTAATGAGCTTTTTAGATAAGAATAGAAGAAGTGGTGGGGGGAAAAAACCCTGTCCAGTTGGGTTTTATTTTGGAAATACTTGAGCACCTGCAGAAAGGACAATACTTAAAGTTAGACCTTGAGGCAGCCTGCCCAAGGCGATGGCTGGAGTCAGTGGCAGCTGAGGATGACGTTGGTATTCCTGCTTCCTAAAGTTTTTGTTCTGAGCGTTTCCTCCTATTGTACGTGCTTTCCTCTCGCTCCTGGAAAACATCCTAAATTTTTTTTTGGGTATATGTAACCAGAGGGGAGGTTTTCACACCCTTCCAGGACATCTCACTGCGTTCAGGCTCTGTTTTGCAGTGGGAGCCGTGCCAGTGATGTACTGAGAGGCATTTTCTCTTGGTGTCCATAGGTAATCAACTTCCCGTTCCCAACGCCACCTCCAACAGAAGCACTTGCAGCAGCTGAGGAGCTGCTGATAGCCCTGGGCGCCTTGAAGGAACCCCCTATGACGGGAAGGTAACGTCTGTGGTCCCCCACAAATCTCCTCTCAGCACCAGTTACTGAGGCAGTGGATGCTGCTGTCCTCATGGCTGCTTTTCCGTTTCAGCCCTCACATCTGAGGGTGTGCTTTGTATAGAGACTGGCATCATTAGAACAGTCTGGTTCACCCATCCTTGTTTTGCTGGCTCTGGGTGTGTTTGGGCAGGGAAAGATCACCCTAGGAGTGCACCATGCAGGGCTGCATGAGGAAGAGGAAACTCTGCACATAACAAACTCTTGAGAAAACCCATCAAATGACTCGGGCTGCCAAAATTAGAAATGCAAACTTGTCCTAGTGCAGCAGTTACTTCATTGCATGGCTCTTCTCTTCCTCCCCCAGGCTGAAGCAGCAGCTGGCAGCGAAGCTGAGTTGCCCCATTAGTCCCCTGGGCAGAATAATGGCCACTTTTCCTGTAGCCCCCCGCTATGCGAAGATGTTGGCACTAAGCAGGCAGCACAACTGCCTGCCCTACACCATCACCATCGTGTCTGCAATGACCGTCCGGGAGCTTTTTGAGGAGTTTGACAGGTGAGTGAGTCAGCCTGACGTCCTGTTTACAGGAGGCGTCACCTTGTCCCAGCTGATGCCCTCTCTTACATTGAGGCCCCTCTGCGCCTAAGCACAACACCCATTTATGCTGTTTTGTGGTTTTTTTAGGCCAGCAGTAAGTGAGGAAGAGACAGCAAAACTGAAGGGGAAGAAAACAAGGCTCGTACAGATGCAAAGGATCTGGGCTGGGCAGGGGCCGATGCAGAAGCTGGGAGACCTCATGGTGATGTTAGGTACTGCAGACAGCAATTTCCCTGTGAACTTCCATTCTGTTTTCCTCCCCACCACCCTGAGCCCTCAGCTTTATACAACCAAAGGCACCCTCTGCTAAGGACTAAGTCCAGCAGTAGATTTTCTAGGCTAATGATGAGTGAGAGCTGTGACGTGCATGTGTTGGCTATGACAATATCATCCCTCCATTGGTTTAATCAGGAGAAGGGATTGGCTCAGTCGTTTTCTCCATCTCACTGTTCCCTTCCAGGAGCAGTGGGGGCCTGTGAATACGCCGGCTGCACCCGTAAGTTCTGTGAGGAAAACGGGCTCCGATACAAAGCCATGCTGGAAATCAGGCGCTTGAGAGGGCAGCTGACAACAGCGGGTGAGTGGGTTTTGAGAGGAATTGCTGTGTTAATTCTCTTTCGGGGGGTGACAAATCAACTGGGCTGTTTGTGGCAACCTTTTTTTACCTACTGAATCTTAACTCGCCCTTCTTTCCCCTGCAGTGAACTCGGTCTGCACTGATGCTGGTCTCTATGTTGATCCAAAGATGAAGCCCCCAACAGAAGCCCAAGCAACTTACTTGAGGCAGATCGTGCTGGCAGGGCTGGGGGATCACGTTGCCCGAAGGGTTCAGGCAGAAGAGCTCCTGGATGAGAAGTGGAAAAATGCCTACAAGGTAACCAGCTTGATTTGACCCAATTCCCTTTCCCTATCTGTGTTGTAGAAAGCCAGTCCCATGCAAAGCCTGAGCTTCTGGCTGTTGTTAGGGCTGTGTGTGCTGCCTTTCTGCGGCCTCTCTCCATAGAATTTACGTTTCTAGTGTTGCAATTTCCGAGTCCTCACGTAGGAGTTGTTATAAAAGAGCTAAGATGTAACATTAGTCCATCTTGCAAAGTGAAGCAGAAAATTATGTGGTTATTAAAAACCTCCATCACTTAAGGAAACCATATAAATGGACATCTGAGAGAAACTGAAATTAGACGCAATCAAGAAATTGGATTGCAAATAACTCATCTTACTCTGCTTCCATCTCCTGTGCTCGCTTAAAGACTGCTCTGCTGGACGACCCAGTGTTCATCCATCCAGGCTCAGTCCTCTTCAAACAGCTCCCGGAGTTTGTGGTGTATCAAGAAATTGTGGAGACTACAAAGCTGTATATGAAAGGTGAGGCTGCTCCGCTCCCTGCTTCTTCTGCCGGTGTGGTGGGGAATTCAGAAGTGACTCAGCACAACGTTTCCCTTGCTGGTGGCTGAGTGCTGCTCTTACAGAGTTGTTTTGCCTCATGGGATTTGGATCCTCACACTTTGTAGATCTGGACCAGCAGAAGAATTGGCCTGGTTTGTTCTTGGTTTAGCAGAATGGGCTGGAGTAAAGCTTAGCTTCTGAAATACCTGCTCTTCACCAGCCCTGGCAGCAGCACTTACCTATTGCTGGTCTCTGAGCAAAAGAACGTAAATCTGTACATCTGACTTGAAAAATGAGGTACAAGTCAATCTGTAGAGCTGAAATCCTGGCCCTGTGCTTTACTTATGGGACTGCTGTGAGCAGCAGCTCTGGGCAGCCAGCCTGCATTCAGGTGTGTGTTTCCCTTCCTAAGGTGTGTCTGCAGTCGAACCCGAGTGGATTCCTGCCCTGTTGCCACCGTACTGCCACTTTGGGAAGCCTCTGGAAGATCCTCCTCCATCTTACTGCCCCGAAACAGGCCGAGTTCGGTGTCACAGGCCAAGTGTCTTTTGTAAGTGTCTTGAAAAGCGTCACTGGGTACTGAGAGCTGCTCTGTAGTTATTTTAATGCTGCCTTTAACAAGACTCGGCAGACCTGAAAGGTCAAGCTCAGCTTGGAGTGTTCAGAGAGCTTAACAGTGGTTTGAGTAACTCCATGGGATCCATAGCATTGAAATAACGGCATCTTCCCATTGCCATGGTCATTCTGTGCCTGTTTGCTCCCCTGCGATCACAGAATCCCAGAATATGAGGAGTTGGCAGGGACCTGGAAAGCTCCCCCAGTGCAACCCCTGCCACAGCAGGATCACCAGAGCAGTCACACAGGAACACGGCCAGGGCTTTGGGTGTCTGCACACAAGGAGACTCCACAACCTCTCTGGGCAGCCTGGGCCATGCTCCATAACCCTCACACTCACAAACTTTGGCCTCATCTTCAGCTTGAACCTCCTGTGCTCCAGCTTGGGACCATTGCCCCTTGTCCTGGCATTGGCCATCCCAGAGCAGAGCCTGGCTCCTTCCTCCTGACACTGCCCTTTCCAAATGGATCCCCATGAGCCAGTCTCCTCTGGGTGGGTGGTGGCAGTACCCTCCACTTCTGCTGGCACCTGTGTTGTCACAGCCCCCTTGGCAATTTACCCTCTTCCTTGAGTGTTCAGTAAATCCAAAGTGATCTTTCTTTCCAGACCGAGTGAGCTGGCAGCTCCCTGCTGTGGAAGTTGATTATCCAGAAGGCATCGATCGCTACAAATACTTTGCCAAGTTCCTGCTTGAAGGAAAGGTAAGTGTGCTCCAGCTCTGGTGCTTCCCTTGATTTTAGCAATAAGTTTTTAGCCCAGTTTCTGGAGGAGATGAGCCCTGTGACTTCTCTGTGTGTGTGCCCATTCCTCATAACCTGCTGGTGGCAGGGGAAGAAATCTTTAAAATACAAAATGGCATGAAAATCAGCATTTGGATGAGAGACACCCCCAATTTAAGTCCTGTTTTTGCAAAGGGAAAAAACCTACAGCTCATGTTATTGCCCATTCTGGGAGGCAAGAGTCATCTGGGAAGCAGGTCTGGTATGGAGATGTGGATGGGAGAGATGGTAATAGAGGATATGGGATGGAAATGTATAGTAGTCCACGTTCATGATGATTGTCTCCACAGAACAGTTAATTTACCTTGTTTGTTATATTTGTTATACCAAATGTTGCAGGTCATTGAAAAGCTGGGTTCCTACAGCCGGTGCCTGCTGTCCAGTCCTCTCATAATGCTGAAGACGTGGTCCAAGTAAGTTGTTAAAAACAAATATAACGTTGTTGTCTCCACTGAACACTTTCCACTTCCTTTTAAATTAAAACAAATTCAATGCTGGGAAGGGTGTTCTAGATAGTGATCTTGGCTGGAGCTGCAGGGAGAGGAAAATGGCTTTTCTTACCAAGAGAAATGGTGTCTCAAGAGAATTGGGCTATTGTAAGGGCGGTGTGGGGAACACACAGGACCTGCTGGTTGCACTGACCTCTGCGGGCTGCGTCCCACGGATTGCTCACTTGTGTAAGAAACCATCAGGTGAGCACTACCACTTGCCTTGTTTCTCTTTGCAGCTTGGCCAATTACCCTCTCTGTCTCTCCTTTCAAAACCACGTTTGCAATAAGCCATGTTTCTCTTGTGGTTTTGATTACATTTACAGAATGGTGACCCTCTAAAGGACTGCCAGCTATTGCAGCCTTGCCATCCCCCCATGTCATCTCTTGCTTACCAAAATAACCTCTCTGAGTTTTCTATGCATGTCCACAGAGCTGGCAGATGCAAGGGTTTTGAAAGGCACAAAGTGTTTTCCTGCTGTAATCAGTTCAGCGTTCAACACTGGGACCTGTGGATCCCTTCTTGCTTTACCCTGTGCTGTGCAGCTGCAGCAGACACGTTCGTGCTGCCAGCAACAGGAGCAACCTGCTGCTACCTGAAAAAGTCATGGCAGGGGGAACAAACTGCTGCTAGTGAACCCTTTTGAGCCCATTACGTGTCTCTATATCCAGAGGTCATGTATTTCTACATCTACATTTAACCTTTTAGAAGTATTCAGAGTATGAATTCAGAAAGGTAAGCTGAAGGCTGGAACACTTTGCTAATGATCATTGTTTTATTGTACCATTTTCTTTTGGACTGATGTAGACTCCAGCCCAGGACAGAATCCCTCCTGCAGGCTCTAGTTGCAGAAGACTGTGATAATCGTGATGCTCTACTGGCTGCATGGAAGAAAAACCCTAAATGTAAGTGTTCAGTGTTCTGCTTGCTTAATTATTAGTCATAGCAGTGCAGACTTCATGGTGCCTCAAGCGCAGTTGACATTTTGAATTACAACTTAAAAAATGCATGGTTTCATTTCATACACTCCAGATATTTGCTGTTTTCTCACCAGAAACAGTAATGCTCTGTGCTTGGTTCTTGTGAAGGACGGGAGTTTCTCGTACTTTAGAAAGCAACTTTCTCTGAATTTTAAGGAATTTTGTCTGTAGTTCTAATCACAGTTAAAATGTTTGGTTTGGGCTTTTGTAACACTGGACTGTGATGATCCTGTCAGTGGATACAGGAAAAAGGGATTTTGTTCAACATTAGGGTACCAGATTATGAGAGCTCTTTATAGAAGCAGCAACAAAGCGTCAAACCAAACCAGAAATCCTTCAAGTGGGGTTGCAGTGATGGCTTCCACAGCAGTTCTCCCATATCTGATATTTCTGTATCTGCATGCAGCTGCCCAAGCTCCAGCACCGTCCCAGCAAAGGGAAGTCGGTCCCTGCTCTCAGCCGGGCAGCTGCCATGGCCCGTGAGCAGGGTGACACTGCACAGCCTGGTCTCCCCAGCAGCCCCTGACTCCCGTACCCGTCTAATCGCTCCTCTCTTTCGTTCCAGATTTGCTCTCAGCCTATTGCCAGTGGATCCCTGAAGCCATGCATGACGACGTAGCCAACAACTGGCCACCGGTAGTGCTGTGAAGTGCCCGACTCTGTTCCTGATGGACTCCTTTTCTCCAGGACGTTCTGAGAGCTTCAGTTTCTTGGAAATTGGATGGCACAGATGGACTTGTTAACTGTTAACAATATCTTTTTATCATCATAGAATGGTTTGGGTTGGAAAAAACCTTCAAGATCATCATGTCCAGCCCTTTTAAGTGAACTGGGTGTTACTTTGGTGTTCCCAGAATCCCTACCAGCTGTTTTGCTGGTATTTTGTAATATTAATGTTTGGATAATTTTATCCATTGTATTTTACAGATTGGTTTTTTTTATTAAGCTTCTCTTTGGACTATATTAGTCATATGGACTATAATAAATATGTATAGTTCTTGGTTTGGAGAAATGTTTTCTGTGTGGGATGCTGCAGTAAGCAGAATTTGACTGTTACAGACCCTTCCTCATGCGTGACTGCGGATCCAGGCGCAGACTGGACCTTTGGCCCTGGTGGTGGGTTACCCTGTGCCTGCTCAGCAGCACACAGCCACTCGCTCCCTATCCCCAGCAGGATGGGGCTGAGGGTAGGGAGTGTAAAAGCGAGAAAACCCATGGGTTGAGATAAAAATACATTAATTTAATTAAGGAAAGGGGAAGGAAAAGAAAACCCAAGACAAATGATGCAAAGCTGATCACTCACCACCTCCCACAGGATGCCCAGCCAGTCTCTGAGGATGCTGTTACATGGCACAGGGTTCCTGCTTCTTGCCCACCCCTGGCTTACTCATGGGGGAGGTAGAGAAGGGAAAAGAGAAAGCCTTGGCACTGTGCAAGTACTGTTGGCAACAGCCAAAACACCGGTGTGTTATCAAACAGTCACAAATCTGAAACAGCAGCATCTGGGCTGATGTGAAGGAATCTCCTTCAGCCCAGCCAGACCCAGTACTAATATTTCTTTATCTTTACGAGTTTACCATGAGTTCAGAGTATCCATTAATCTTGCTTTCAAGAACTTTTCTGGAAATCTTTCCTCATACCTGGCTCAGTGCTGCAGTCACTCACATCTGCTGGTGCCTTTGCTCTGCTGGCTGGGATATCAGTGCTGTTCTGTACAGCCTGCATTTCAGGGGCTGCTTTTAGGAAACAGAGCTGACTTCAACCATGCCATCTGCTCATTCTGCAGCAAGAAATTTTGGTAGGCCCAGGAGAAAATGTGCAGCTTGAGTTTACCTTCTCTTTCACCCCATCTTTTTACTGCCTTATAAATCCTGTGCTCACTCTGTTAATTTGCTGTTCCTGGGACCACCGCACCAGGAGAAGGTGTGGGCAGTGACCCCCGTGTCCCCAGGCCCTGGAGGAAGTGGGTGCAACCCACACACGGAAAACACTGGAGGCCTGCACCGAGGGCTCCCATGTGCTTCAGGGGCTGCAGGCCAGGACACAAGTAAGTGACAAAAAATACATAAACGTATGAAACTGCAGCTTTTGTTTTTGAGCAAGAAGGAGAAGAGCCGGTTGTAGCCATGTGTGTAACATAAATGCTACAAGGCCGTGGTGTTTAGCAGTGATCACAGGCATGAGGGGCTCTGGGTTGGGCTCCTTGCTCTGGCAGGAGTTGCAGCAGAAGTTTGCAAACTGCTCTGTGCTCACGGGAGGGAAGAGATTTTTAAAAAGATTTAAAAAACCCCACAGTGTTTACAAATTACGTCTTTTTTTTTAAAAAACTGGCTAAAAACAAGTGGAGATGCCGGGGATTGAACCCGGGGCCTCATACATGCAAAGCATGCGCTCTACCACTGAGCTACATCCCCTGCTTGCTGTGGGTTTCTTCCACAGCCAAGCCATCCAAAACAACTGCAAGCCGCACGTCAGCCCCGCCACCGAACCGCTCCGCT